CTCAGTTAGGAGGCCTCAAGGTAGGCAGTTGCGGGGGGGCTGTTCGAGGGCATGAGGTGCCCCACGTTCACCAACAAGGGTGGTGGGGAGGGAGATGACAAGGGGAAGAGAACCTCAGAAGAATTAGAAGGGTCTGGGAAGCAGGTGTGCATTCTCTACCAGTTAGCCTGAACACGCCAATCATCAAGGATTTTGCTGGAGGTGGTTGGGTACAATTGGTGTACACATCAAAGAATGTGGACTTGGGATCAGGTTGGAGTTGGAACTCCACTGTTTGTCCACCACATGACCCTGGGCAAGTTCCTTAACCTCTTGGAGCCCGTGTTTGTAAATAGTGCTGGTATTTACCTCCTAAGTTTCCAAGGATTTAATAACCCACAGTAAACCCTTCATAGAAGGCATGTATTTGCTCAACTTTGACACCCTGCTATGGCGTGTGGCCCCGGCAGGTGAACAGAAAGGTCTGCTGGTTCGTTTGAAGAGGTGTGGCCTCTCACCCCAGCAACAATGTCTAGTCTCAACTCTCACCGTGGCAGTTAAAGTTTCTTGGGGGTCCTTTCCTAGGCACTGATGCTGGCTGCATAGCCCTGGTGTTCCTATGTCTAGATTGAACAACTGGCAAAATCCACACTGATTGTGACCTGAAGAGTGGCTGGCTTTTCATTCTCTGAATGCTTATGCAGAATGATGGTTTCTATTGTCAGAATCTCCGTACCTTTTTATTTAAATATTCTTCTTCATGCCATTCATTTGAAAGTATTCTCCCTCTTGTGGAACCTTATAGAACCGATTTCTGAGAATTTCTTACGAATTCATTTAAAAGCCATCATTAATCAATAGGCCTTTTCTGGCTATGGGCAAGACTGCAGGGAAAAACCTTTTCCTACAGGGACAGGACCCAGATGTGTATTTAATAGTTGTGTCCTGGACCTGTTATTAAGTGAAGAGTGTTCTAGGAAAGTGGGCCTGGACTGAGGTATAAGACTTCAAGTCAACAGGCCGTCTCATTCAGAGTTTCAACCAGTACTCTGGCGGATAAACCATTTGTGGCCACTGAATTACTCTGGCTAGTCTGTCTCAGAAGGAACATCCACAGAGAGGGCTAATGAGACAATTGAAGAGAAGAATATTTTACCTGAGGTTTTTTGTGTTTTTTTGAGTTTTATTTTTGCGTGTATGGATTACCACCATATATCTCACCATGTTATCCCAGAAAGACTCCAATTTCATACAGAATGCACAGATGTTTAAATAAAAAGCCACTTGAGTAGATAATTCTCACTAAAAGCTAAAATATGAGAAATGACAATTCTAGATAAACTTTTTTGACCTGTAAAATGACATACCCATAGTTACAGAAAATAAAAGAATCAGGTTTGGGCTGGGTGCGGTGGCTCACGCCTGTAATCCCAGCACTTTGGGAGGCCGAGGTGGGTGGATCACGAGATCAGATGTTCAAGACCAGTCTGACCAACACGGTGAAATCCCATCTCTACTAAAAATACCAAATACATAAATATCCTGCTGTGTTGTACATAATTAATAAATCAGGTTTGAATGTCCACAGGTTTCTAAAACTAAGCTCTTGCTTCACATCTGTTGAAAATCTTCAATAGTTGGGGAAAATAGCTATATTTAAAAATAAATATTGAATTTTGAGTTGAAAAGTTGATTTTCCTCCCTTGATGGATTTTTAAGCTATGGAAAACCCAAGTAGCCTTTCCATGGTCTTTCTAGGTTGTCCAACAGCCAACCCCAATCAGCAGCAACAGGGACTCGAGCTGTTCACCCTGGTTCTGAGTTGGCTGAGCTTCCTGCTGCTTTCACACATTCTTCTACCTCAGCTCCTCTTTGCTCATATTCTGTTTACTCCATTAACTAGCCCAAGCACTGGACTTAAGTATCGGATTGCTTATACATAGTTATAATGTTTCATATTTTAAAGTATAGAAGTTTGTATTAAAGAAAAAACATAAATGGAAAGTTAAGCAATCCTGAACAAGAAAATTGTTTCTCTCTCTTTGGGGTAGGAAAAGAGAATGCTCTAAAGTAGTTACATAATCTTTTCCAAAGCAGGATGGACTGTATCCATCACACAAATTAGGATAAGATGACATATTCTCCTTAAAGAAATCAGGCTTGAGCCTATATAAGCCATAACCAAATAGAAGATTTTAAACAAAGGAGCATATAGCCCAAAGGTGACAGGTTATTTCTATAAACTCTGGTATGTATGTGAAGGACTTACTGTTGGCTGGCTTGTGGACTTTTTGACTCACTGCATTTTTTTAGACAAAATCACAATGTGAAGACACATAAATCTAATAGTTGAGATTTTCTTTTCCTTCCAGGTGGACTTGCTGACTGATTAGTTTCACATACTACTTAGTAACCTCAAGAGGGCGCAGGAGGATGCCATGTATCCAATCTGCTTCAGTCTTACCACAAGGATGGAGACTCCAGCAGAGTGGGGTGGGCATAGACAGGCCACGAGATGGCGCAGCACCTCCATACTTGGGCCCTTGACAACCAAGTACGTTTCTTTTTTAAAAAAGTCCATTAGGAGGTAGAATGCTGGGATTTCAGACCTCAGCTATTGAATAGTAAATCTGGAAAACTGGCAAATAAATCTGCTATCTCCATTCTATGTTATTAAAGCCAAGACAGTGTATTGGTTTTCTTTTAAATCCTAATCCATTATGTCAAACATTTAAAAAGTCACAAAACCCACAAGAAACATCTGGTTTACACTAAGATGCTTATTTACCTAACACCACTGATGATAAATGCTGTTACAAATATGCATAGTCGGATGATAGTAACCACATACAGAAAATATCTGAACAAGAATTTATTAAAATTTACTTAAAGGATTAGAGCTGGTATATAATAGAACATTTAAGATAACATTTGGAGTTATGTCAATGTAAAAATGATAGCTGTGGTTACAATTAGCACATGCAATTCACTGCAAAGGTAAAAATACATACTATACTGTAGACAAGCCTTCCAAATGAAGTAGATGGGGTAACACAGCAAGTGAACATGAAAGGATTGCACTTAGAAGAAAATGGGACATAGCTAGAATATAAAAAAGAGACATACCTAATGCTAATCACTGCATTGTCCTAGCAAATTGCACGTTTTTAGGGTATAATCAATACACACATACATTGAGACTAGAGAATTTTCAAGTATCTACCTTTTAAAATATCCCTTTGTTTCTGACACATCACATTATGGTATTAATGTACCAGCACTTGAAACCTGTAGTTATCGTTCAGACAAAGCTTGTGTTCAAGAGATAAAAAAAAAAACATCACTTTCAGCCTTAAATGCATCTCATCATGATCCATCAACTTTAATAAAATGGGTAATGAAGTTAAACTAACCAGTTTGTATACTGACTGAAAAAAAGCCCTTTAGGAGCAGGCCAGGCACGGTAGCTCACACCTGTAATCCCAGCACTTTGGGAGGTCAAGGTAGACAGATCACCTGAGGTCAGGAGTTTGAGACTGGCCTGACTAACATGGTAAAACCCCATCTCAACTAAAAATACAAAATTAGCCAGGCGTGGTGGTGCATGTCTGTAATCCCAGCTACTCGGGAGGCTGAGGCAGGAGAATTGCTTGAACCCAGTAGGTGGAAGGTTGTGGTGAGCCGAGGTCGTGCCATTGCACGCCACCCTGGGCAACAAGAGCGAAACTCCATCTCAAAAAAAAAAAAAAAAAAAAAAAAAAAAAGAGCTTACCCTGCGCTGCCACCTTTTAATTTTTAATGCAATGTATATGAGACTATCATGCTGATGCACATACTAGTAGCATGTATGATGGAAAAAAACAGATTAATGTAAAAGATAATACACTTGGCTTTGTAAAGTTTTGTTTTGACTTTTATCTGTCTGAATTCTGTTTAAGTCTGAAAAGGAACTGCTGCCAAGGACCAGTCCAAAGAAGAATTAGGCTGTAAGCCTGCTAGTTCAGACCTTCTTTAAAATCTATGACAGTGCCCAATTTTAGGCTAACCCTAAAACACTTGCCATTTTATTACTCCATATTATTTTAATTTACAGTAAAGTACAAACATTTTTTTAGAAAGTAATCTTATCTGAGTAATATAATCTAGCAATACCTGTAATAGATATCCCAGTAAATTTTTCTGAACAATTGAGCTTTTGTCTTATGTAGCTTATAACTTTGATATTTTACTCATCTCAACAAAATAAAATTCCATTGAAACAGAAGTGTATGATTTAGGAATATGCTCTTAATAACAACTGAGCAAAATCAGAATGATGTGGGCTACAACAGAATGAAGGACGATCTCTCCTGCTTGATTTACTTGATTGATATGTCAGTAAACAGAAATATTTTAGGGAATTCTATATGATTATTCTACTTCTACATTTACATGTCATGGTTTTAACTAGTTAAGTGGGTAGAAAAAAGACATTTTTGTTTGATTTCCATTTCTCAAACTAGATGCTCTACTTTAAATATGAGCTTTAATAAATGTAAGTATACTTAACTAATCTTTAACTTCACATTAAGAGCTAGGGTCATTAGATGACTTCATGTGGTAAAATCCCTTATCAAGGAATAAGGCTGAAATTAAATGAACAATCAGGTAGAGAAGAGATATTAACATAGAACATACTGCTTTTTTCCCCTGCTGTTACTCAAATGTTGAGTATGTTCCCAAGTGCTGACTAATCCATACTAAAAAAAGATAGTATTAAAATTTTAGGTTTTAATGGTACAAAGTGTGAAGTTTTAAGTTTTCTAGTAATTATCCAGTATTATCCCTTTGAGAGATGAGGGTGGGATACCACAGACACCAGTAACCGACATAATATCAATACATGTGACATTTGGGTCCTTTTTTTTAACCCTAAAGGGAGCAACTGCAGAAGCAGTAAGTGAACTAGTTTTGTCCACAAAAGGTTTTCTGATGTGCTAGTAGTATTACTTTAAACAACACTTTAGACGCTGAAGATTTACAGTGATAAAGCCACTAACTTTATTAGACTAGTTTTTACATCAATAAACCAGATTTGCCTATCTAAAATACAATTTACATGCATCAACACATAGATTATTCTAGGACATGCTCGGGAAAGTAATTTTGAATGTGAAACAAGTTTTATGATTTATTTTCTCCTTAGGGCAGAAAATGTACATCACATATTAGTGCTAAAATATATATTCATTTCCAGAATGAATTTTTGCACAGTAATCATATATCCATTTAATATATATAAAGTGCTCTTGGGGATGGGGGCATTCACTCACTGTACCATGTTTTATACAGGCTTCAACATGCAAATTTGTTTCTATCATGGCCTTCAATGATCCTCCGTTCTCATTTCCTTGGATCATGAGTTCATGCTGTATAACTGACCCGGAAATGTACAAACTTCACACCACAATATTCTTCATGACACTGTGTTATGAGAAAAGTTGCAGCTGAACATTACAATCGTGACTTATTTTAAGAAAATGGAAAAGGTATAAATTTCCTGACACACATAGCAAGACAAATCCAGCCCAGCCTTTGATGATCAATTTAAACGGTAGCGATGCCATTATCTTTTTGTGTGAATTTGGGTCTCTCTATCCCCCCTATACTTTTCTGTGCCTGATTGCCCTCATCTACTTTGAATTCATCATTCTATTAATCTACTTTTGCCTGAAGTGGGAAACTGGATATATCGGAATAAAGCATCTACTTTGTTTCATAAAGAAGATCATATATGTGAAAGAACTTTGAAAGGATCAGACATTATATAAATGTAAGAATATAAAAGATAAACAGGAAGTCTAATGTGAATAATATTCTGAGAGTAAAAAGTGTAATTATATTTCAATTATAAATGTATACCAAGTTTTCTTAGCTTTTTATTCTCCAATAACCTCTAGAAACTATTCTAAGCCTGCCTGTTTTTTGTAACTTAAATATGGCTAAAAAACCTGTTTCCTCTGAATTCACTTGATAACAGTAGTCAATCACTAATAATCCTTGTTAATTTCCTCTTACTTTCTTAGCCCATATAGTTAGCCTCGGCCTTCATGTCACATGTGGTGATTAGGGGACAGCATAAGCACACTAGTGGCTTCAGCACTAAACTCAAGGCCTGGGCCACTTCTCCCCTGAAGAAAAAAGGTTTAAAAAATACCTAAATCACAATGTAAAACTAAGTTCCACCCTACCTCAGAATTGCAGATATTAAAATATCACCTCTTTATTAAGTGTCTCTACAATAAGGATATTTACTAAGATCAAGATGTACATTTTTGGGGGTTCTGTTTTGTTTTGGTAAACACTGCCAAAGTCCTCTTAGTTTGCTTCAAACATTGACTAAAAAAAAATTTAATCTTTGCCTACTTAAAAATAAAAAAATACTCAAAACGCAATTTAAGCTGAAGGTATATGCTGAATAAAGTACTTCATCTACCCAATTCTCTGAAGACTTAAGAAAGGTCAATGATGTTTATATATAAACATTAACAATTTAAACCTTTAAAAATGGCAGTTTTTTAAATGCTTGAGATAGTTTGGGGGACCCTTAGCTCTTGTCATGGCACTCGGTTGAGTTTGTAAAATGGATCTTTAAAGAAGTTGTCAATAATAAGCAAATTTTTGAAAACTAGTGAGATTACTGATTATTGAATAAAAAATGTAATCTGCCAAGTCAAAGCTCTAGAATTCCTTTTCTCCAGTAATAACTGGCAGCATTACTACCAACGGAAGGGACCTACAGAATATTGTGTACATTGATATACACAAGAGGCTACTCCTTTTATTTTTGGTCAGATTATGAAAATGGGGCTTATATAGTTTTGGCCTATGGACCTCTTTTTAAGTTACTTTAGCTGAAGTAGATAGAGGAGCAAGGTCTAGACCAATCTTTTATATTAACTGTCCCTAAGCCACTTTGATGACTATTCTAATCAAAATCAGTATAGCTGTGCTCACTAAGCATGTTCCGGCTTCTTAAATACCTTGTGTTTTCTATGTAGCAAAACAAAAAGTTTTACTTTATAAATTTCAGGTAAGCTTTCTATTTTTCTTCAGTGCAAACATCCTGAAACAGCACAAAATTATTTAGCTAGTCTGAGGATAAAGTCAGTTTATGTAGTGCTTAAAGTAGAATCCCAGATATTCTGGAATGGAAATAGCTCATGTAAAAGTTCAGTTCATTTTTGTCCTTAAGGGCAAATGATCATTTTCACAGAGTGAAGACTTTTTAAAATGTGAATTCACAGATAAAATATTTTAGCTTTACTCTTACAGGTACTGCCGAAGTGTAACAGGAACCGCTAGTCCTTCACTGGGGCATGTAGCCGCCTTGCCGTACAGTCTGTGGTAAGTAACTTTTAGGCATTCCTTCATCAATCGCAGCCTCCATCCCAACTGTTTCAAATCTTTCTACTTGTCCCTCAGTACCTGGACCAAAAGCATCTGCTGCAGAAACTTCCTGAAACATTTTCATTTGCCCAGATCCACAGGATTGTGAAATATGATCTGAAATCTGTTGTTTAAGTCTAACAAAATCTTCCTCATTGACTGATGAAACTTGCTTTGACCTTTCAAAATGTGAAATATCTGGACTGGATTCATGCTGACTGCAGTTCTGTTTGAAGTACTGTTGCCTGGGCAAAATGCCATCACCACCATCTACATGATCTACTAATTGAAGATCTTCTGGCCGCTCCTCCGAATCTAACAAGGGCTGGGTGGACTCGGATCTTGAGAATACTTGGACTGATGGAACTTGGTGTCTGTAGCCACTGTGTACCACAGTAGAATACTGGACAGTGCTTGAAGTGTTTTGTGAAGACTCATTTTCATCACTGCTAGAAATGCTTGGCCTAGAAGATGACATGCATGAAGACCCCCCAATACCACTGCTGTGTCCTTCGGTATTAATTTTTTCCTTTTTGAATAGGTCCAGTGATTTGAGATCTTCTGGAAAAGGCTTTTTGTCATTTGCTTCTATTTCCACAACACTTACATCAGTGAAATTGCCATCTGAGAACATTTGATCTTTTGAATTAAAATTGTGCTAAGAAAGAGAGAAAATTTATTATTTATGGGATATGTTCATTTAGAAACTCTCATATGTACATGGCAAATATCTGTTAAAGCCACAGAGCTAATGCATCTCTGAAACTTCCCAGTAACTTTCAGTGGTACAGAAATGACCTGTATTATGTCACTAAGTCAATGTCAACCACCCAAAATGCAGATACTGTAAAATGAGTCTAAGTAGTCTAAATCAATATTTTTGGTGTTACATTTTGCTAAGCTAATGGTCTACAAATAGTATTTAATTTAATTTCATGCCTAGACTAGGCAGCCTAGGATTAACTGGACAGAAAACTAGAAAATATTAAGAAAATCAAACCTGAAGGATGGAGATTTTGTGGAATATAAAAATACACAACACATTTTAATATGTTAATATAAACTTTAAGGACTATGGGAGGATAACAAATACAAACAACTTCCCCTTTGGGGCATATTTAAAATCCAGAGTTTAGTGTAGGTTCCCAGAGATCATTTCACCAGTGTTAAAATGATAGACTTTTGAACTTGGTTGTAATATTCAACCCAAAATGCTTGCTTTGAAATAGCATCATATAGCAGTTTTAGCACCTTAAGTTTACAGTTTGCAAGTTCAACTAAACATCTGTAATGTTTACTAAACAGAATTTAAAACATCAGAACAAATATGCTATGATGGTGATAAACCTCTAAAATGTGTTGTACATATTTTGATTAAAATTTTCATTTATGTACTATTTTCATTTACTTTTTGATTCAGCTTGAATATCTTTTGGTACATTTGTAGATACTCAATATATATACTAACACGTCTGTATATTATCAACAACTCAAAAGCATTTTCTCTTACCCTTGGAGGAGTATGAGGTGACCACTGGGCAATATGACTCTTTGAAGGATCTGGAACATTAGGCCAGATGTGTTTTTTAATTCTGAAGAGAAAAGAAAAATGACCTATGTAAAACCACAAGTAATAAACAATGAATAGCCCCTACTTCTAAACATGTTCATTAAAGACTCTTACCAACCAAACCAATTACCTAAATGAACAAAAATACGTACTCTACCCCAAAGAAAAATTTTTCTTGTAACCAACAGAAAAATACTGTTGAAAATGCATACGGATTGTAATGTATTCATAATGAATAACAAGGCTAAATTTAATAATCAGTGTTCAATTTTTTAAAAACCTCTCAAAATTCTGCTTAGAATCTTTATCCAAGCCACATCTTGTGGTATTCCAATTAAAAGACTCTAGATAACAAATTAATGTTCCCACTGATACCAAATTATTTTTAATAAGAAAAGGCTAAAAATATTTAAAATTCATTTAAGATATCCATATACTCAAAAACCTACTGAAGTATGTTTTCCTTATAGCTAATACAGTTCCTAGCTCAAAGTTAGAGGTTCATAAGTACACAGAAAATGAGTCATCTTGAGAATAAGTTCAAATATAAAAATCAAATTTAAAAAAGTGACCACTGAGAATGGTGCTTCTGGTAAAAGGGTAAGATCCTACCAGACTGACTCTCCTTAGGGAGTATCTATAACATTTGGATGTAATATGAAAAGCAGTAAAGCTGACAACCTAGGCAAACCCATGAATGCATTCCTTGAAAGACACAAATTACCAAAATAGATTGAAGAAAAAGAAAGCTGTGATATATTTATAAATAAATTGAATTTTTAATTACAAACCTTCCCACAAAACTCTGGGCAAAAGGAAACAGTACTGATACTATACAAACTCTTTCAGAAAATAGAGGAGGTAACATGTTCCCATTCATTTTATGAGGCCAGTATTATTCTGATTTTAAAACCAGACAGACATCGCACACAAAGACAAACTAACATCACTCATGAACACAGATGAAAACATTATTAATCTGAATGCAGCAAAATCCAAGGAATGCAAGGATGGTATATGAAAATAAAATTCACTATACTCATGGAAGGAAGGAGAAAAACCGTATGATCATCTCAATAGATTCAGAAAAAGCATTTGACCAAATTGTGACATCCATTCATGATAAAAATTGCTAGCAAAGCAAAACAGAAATAAGAACTTCCTCCTGGAAATAGTAGTAAAGGGGAAAAAAAACCCCACAAAGCAAAAACTTCAACCTCCAGCTAAAATCAGGTGTGATGGTGAAAGACTAAATTATTTTCCCCTCTAAAATTAGGAACAATGCAATGCCCTTATCCCTTCTGGTCAACATTGTACTGGAGGTCTTAGCCAGTACATTAAGACAAAAAAAAAACAAAAAACTAAAAGCATAAAGATTAGACCTACTATAATTGCTTGTAAGAAGCATGATTGTATATGTAGAAAATTCTAAGGAATCAGAAGAACTACTAATAAATGAATTTATCAAAGTCTTAGTATACCATGTCAATATATTTTTAAAAATCTATTGCATTCCTATATAAGAATTAGAAAATATTTTTTACACCTTCCATTTATAATAACAAAAAAATACCTTTTGTCATGAATTTAACAAAAGCTATGTCCACTGAAAACTATACAATACTGTAAAAGTAAACTAAAACTCAAATAAATAAATAAACCAGGTTCACAGATTCAAAGACTCAATAGTGTTAAGACTGCAGTTCTCCCCTATGTATTCAATAAAATCTGACCTACAGATTCAATAAAATCCCAATTAAAATTATAGATTTTAAAAAAATTGACAAGCTGAATTAAAACGTATATGAAAAGGCAAAGAACCTACCCAAATTAACTTTTTTTTAAACATACTGGAAGAAGTCTACCTATTTTCAAAATTTACTATACAGCTATACTAATCAAGACAGTGTGGTACTGGCATAAGAACAGATATATATGCATTGATGAAAAAGAACTGAGAGTGTGGAAATAGATACAAACTTATAAGGACAATTGCTTTTGGCAAAAGTACCAAAGCAATTCAATGGGGGGAAAGACAGTCTTTTCAAAATAAATGACAATGGAATTAGACATCTGTAGGAACAAAACCAACCTTGACCCTGACCTCACACCATGCACAAAAATAACTTGAAATGGATCACAGTTTTAAGAGCTGAAACTACTGAACTTCTGGAAGAAAACATGAGAAAATATTTTCACACTGGGTTTGGCAGAGACTTCTTAAACAGGACACAAAACTCAGGAACCACAGAAAAACTGATAAACTTCATCAAAATAATAAAAAAAAAAACTGCTTTTCTAAAGCCACAGTTAAGACAAAAAGGCAAAGCATAGACTGGGACAAAAGTCTGCAAAACATATTTGACAATGTTGTGACCAGAACATATAAAGCACTCTTATAGCTCAATTATCAACAAAATAACCCAATTTGAAAATGGGTGAAAGATTTCAATAGACATATCACAAAAGAAAATATGTAAGTCACACATGAAAAGATCCATTACTAGTCGTCAGAGAAATGACAATTAAAATGAGATAGTACTACACACCCACTAGAATGAAAGAAGTCGTCTGACAGTGCTGTGTTGGTAATGATAACGGAACACTGTTGGTGGCAATGCAAGTTGGTCGGTGTAGCCACTCTGAGAAAGTTCGGCAGTTCCTTACAAAGTTGAACGTATACTTACCATACAACCCAGCACCCTCACTCCCAGTTATTTGTTCAAGATAAAAAAAAAATATGCTCACACAGTTTTGTATGTGAATATTCACAGCAACATTATTCATAATAGCTAAAAATTAGAAATAACCTAAACTTCTGTAACAGAGAGGTTTTGATACATCCACACTACAGAAGACTGTTCAGCAATAGGAAAAAAGTAGCCCAGGTGCCATGACTCATGCCTGTAATCCCAGCACTTTGGGAGGCCGAGGCAGGTAGAATACTTGAGGTCAGGAGTTCGAGACCAGCCTGGCCAACGTGGTGAAACCCTGTCTCTACTATAAAAACACAAAAATTAGCCAGGCATGGTAGCAAGTAACTGTAATCCCAGCTACTCAAGAGGCTGAGACAGGAGAATCATTTGAACTCAGGAGGTAGAGGTTGCAGTAAGCCAAGATCATGACACTGTACTTCAGCCTGAGGAAAAAAGTGAGAATCCATCTCCAAAAAAAAAAAAAAAATACATGCAACAACATGGATGAATCTCAAAAATATGTTAAGTGAAAGACATACACAAAAGACTACATGCTATTTGATTGTATTTAT